AATATATGCTTATATTCTAATGAAACTCAGGACATTCTGTGATGAATATATGTCAAATTAATAAAAAATACTTGAGGCTTTAGATCTTTTTACTTTAGATCATTTTATGGATCTGGATATTTAAATTTTAAAACATTTTCTTACTGATAATTTAATACTTTGCTTTTTATTAATAATGTTAAATGATATCGTCTAGTAAATAATGTTTTACTCAAGAAGCTTGATATCAATATAATTACAGACACTATCCAAGGACAGGTTATCGGTAATAGTCATTTTTTATACACTGTATTGAGTCTATTCTTACCTCACTTGCATGAAAAATTTACTTTTTTTGTTCATGAGCACAACCAACTGCTTCTATTGTAACTAGTGAACTGCTTTGCCCCAATGTCGTCACATTTTTGTTTCTAATTTCAGTTAGTTCTGGGTAATTTTAAATTAAATATTCTTATTGATAACCTACATGTTTTATATTATTGTATGATTAGATTTGTTCATAATTGACAAGCTTATTATACTTTTATATTACGTGAAGTATTATTATTCCAAATAATTAGAAGCTATGGTTTCTGATGAAATATTTCCTCCTAAAATGTTGTTTCTATTTCCTTCTTTTTTTCCTTAGTTTTCTTTTTTTTATTGTCTTATGTTCTCTCAAACGGGGTTGATTCACTCCTAGTGTAAGTTAATGTATTCTCTAAAACCTGGTTGATTCACTGCTAGTGTAAGCTAATACATGGCATGACATCATTAGCATCTTGTATACACTTGAATGCTGCTCTTCTAAAAATCCTCATTCTAATTCTATTATATTAAAGAAGTAAAATTTTATCAGTTAGCTGTATGAGAATTTTTTTTTCAGGCTCCATACCTGTACTTGAAAATGTATTTTAAGAATTATAATTTTATATCTATATGTATGAAAAAAATGGCAAATTAAAACTAAATTTAAATCGTTGATTTAATTTACAGTTTTATGATTGAGTTCAAAGTATCAGTGTAATGGCCAACTATTTCTTTGCTAACAATCTTAAATTTCTTTAATTTTTTTCAATGATGAAGAATAATTTGGTTTTATTTTTGTCTTAGTCGAGGAGATGAACCATTGGTTTTAGCAGGTCTGGCCAATGGGAAGATGGCACTCTATACAATATCAGAAATACTTCAGGTTAGCATGACATATTATTTTGTTTTGGAAAGATAAAAATTATGAAAGTATTTGAGCATGACAATACTCAAGTTCTTTTTGTCAAGATTAGAAACTGAAAAACATCAACTTTATTTCTGTCAATAAATCGCGACCAATAAAATAACTTTTTCGTTTGTAGTCATGTATGTAAAAAAAAGTAGCCCTTTCAGAACTTCCAATCTACAAGGCAGATGATGATGGGCTCATCTGTTTCCATGCCTTATTGTTTACAAGGGTGCACTGTGGCCAGCACATTGACCAATTGCTTTTATTTTCCCAAAATAATGTCAGCTACCCATTAGAGTTGGATGGACACAATGACATACTCAAAATCTCGAAACTCAAAATCCTAGTCTTCAAGATTTGAACCTGTGATCCCTCATTTTTAATTTTGAAAATATTTTTTTCTTACATTTTATTTTCAAAGTTAAAGTTGTTATACATTCAAACAAATTTTATTGCTGAAACAGCTTTTTTGTGGCTTTTTCAGGAACCAATTATGGATCCTATTGAAATCAATCTTGGAGAAAGCTATGAGCCTGTTCGATGTATTATTCGTTGCAGTCTGGATCGGAAGGTGATTGCCTCCTGTGGAGCAAAGATAATTGTGTTAGAAACCAAACGAGGTGTTGCTGTGGAAAATATTTTTAACACTTTAGAGAAAAAGTGAGTTTTCAATTTGGGTAATCTATAATTGACTTCATTATTAAAGAAATGTGTGATTATTTTACCAAGTTCCAAACTTTGGTAATATATAACTAGATTAAAAGAAATTTGTGATTCTTCTATTGCTAAAAAAAATGACTTATAGGCTGTGAGGCTTTTATTTATACTAAGCTGTATTGTAGTTTCAAGGGTTTATGTTCATCTCTTTCATTAAGAGTATAAATAAATATAAATACATCCTAACTCAAAACTCATGCAGAATAGCTGAGGTAGAAATGCGACAAAGTGTCACTCTGCTAAAATTCTGCAAGTGTTCAAATTGTACACATTCTGTATAGCCATGCTAATAACTCATTTCCTCAATCAGTGATGCTGAGTTCAACCCTGTCACCAGCATGGCTTGTGGGAGGTTGCTGTACGTAGCTCATCGTAGTTCAACACACATCCAGGCCTGGGATGTTTTACATGGAAGACTTAAGAACGTTTTGGATATCAGCAAAGTATTTAAGTAAGAGTTCATGTGTGGTGTACATCTGCATCCCTCGTGACATGATAAGTGTAATATGCATCACTTCACTTTTTTATAACAGTCTTTCCTTTAGTAAAGTTTCTTGCAATTTTTTATAAAACCCTAGCTTTATGAAATGTATATATCTTGGCAAGCAAAGCTTTATTGTATGGAACCAAAAATACTATGTTTCTGCAGTTTGTCCACTAAAGATAGCCGAGTAACTTCTATGGTCCTGCATGATAAGATTTTGTGGGTTGGCTCTGGCGGGGGACAGATTGCCTTGATTGACACTGTCAACTGGACACCAGTTATTTGTACACATCGCCATACTGCGTCAGTCAGATGTTTACTCACAGTTAAGATCAAAGGTCAGTCAGACTTGATATGTAAAGCCTACTAATATTTTAACAATTATTATCAGTCTTATGGTAAGATAGTATTGTTTGATTAGCTTATTTTAATTTTATATGAATGAACAAATGTTGGATTCAACTTAAGTTGATAGTATTTAATTTATAAGATGTTTTTAGTATTTGATTGAACTTTTGATGGTAGTATTTGATAAAATGTATGATTTTTATATTTTCTTTAGAATTATGAGTAATGTTTAATCATGTTTTCAGGACTGACTCAATTTAGTTCTACATCCACTACTAAAAATGTAATATTAAGTGGGGGATTAGGCTTTCAAAACAGATCTGATTCTGACTCTTATAAAGGTAACCTAGAATTTCTTTGTTGTAACACCATCATCTCTACCAATGTTACAAGCTCTTTCATTCTTATGTAACTGTAATGCAATGGTTTCTCTCAATTCACAGACAATCAATATGGATGTATTTTAGTATGGGACTCTGACTTTCCGCAGACTGTGAAACAGTTTTTTGATTGGTCCAAGAAAAGAAAAGATCTGAACACTATGATGTCTAGAAGTACAACATGAACAGATCTGAACATAATGTTGATTTCCATTTTTTTTTTAATTTACAGAATAAACTGAAGCTCCATCTAGAGATATACCCGGTATTAATTAAGTATATTAACGATATTAACTTAATTCTTTGTAAAATCTATTTTGTCAATTTAAATGCTTTTGTATTGATCACGTTTTACACCAAGCTTTGAGTATCATTCATTTGGAAATACAACTTTTTTTTTTCTTTATCAAATGTTTCTCAGAGCATTAATGTAAACAATAAATCTCTGTTTCCCTTTTGTCCAAAATGTATGTCAAGATGTCACATTGTTTGTTGTTTTAAAAATACAAGTTGAAAACCTTGGAGCACATAAAGTCCTAATGATATTTGCTCTTACATCATGAGTTATCCATTGCAATATATTTCATGCAATAAATATTTGTTTTTAAGATTATCAATTATTGTATAAGAAATCCCATTATTGGTGTTTTTTGATAAGATTGATTTGTTTCTTCAATCCGTACCAATGAAGAGATTTGTTCATTTAGTCCTTACCAATTGAGAGATTTGTTTCTTCAATCATTACCAATTGAGGGATTTGTTCAATTAGTCCTTACCAATTAAGAAATTTGTTTCTCCAATCATTACCAATTAAAGAGATGATTTGATTCTTCAACCATTACTAATTGAGAGATTAGTTTCTTCAATCATTACCAATTAAATAGATTTGATTCTTCAATCATTACCTTGAAAGACTAGTTTCTTCAATCATAACCAATTAAAGAGATTTGAGACTTCAATCTTCAGTCCTTACCAATTAAAGAGATTTGAGACTTCAATCTTCAGTCTTTACCAATTAAAGAGATTTGATTCTACAGTCCTTACCATTTCAATCTATTTGAACAGCTCTTGTCTAACTTGAAAAATCCACATCTCTCTAACCAAGTCCTTTACATAAAGTCTTTCATTAGTCAGTACAAGTTTTTAGTTGTACTCTTACAATATTCTTTATCCTAATTGTTTGATTAGTTTATTTATTCTGCACTTTTTACCTACATGTACTCACACTTCCCAGTGTTTATATTTTTTTGTGATGCTTTACAAATATGATGAGTAAATAGAAAAACTGCTAGTTTCTACTTTTGAGAGAAATTGTTGTTTTTGTTGGTTATTGCATTGCTGTATTTCATTCAATGATAATAATATGAGACAAAACTTTTGTTTTGATGTCAGAAAACTTTCATATTGAAAAAAAAACAAAACTTTTTTTTTTAAATCAAAGACAAGAAACTTGCTTCTTATTTTTAAATTTATTGTCACTTAGAATCATCACTATTATGAAAGTACTTAGTAACTACTTATAATTATCACTTTTATGTCAGTACTTAGAAACTACTTAAAATTATCACTGTTATATGTAAGTACTTTGTAGCTACTTAGAATCACCAATGTTATGTAAGTACTTTGTAACTACTTAGAATCATCAGTGATATTTAAGTAACTATAAATCAAAACCATGTTATGTTTTTCTTTTAATGAACATTGAAGGTTGTGCAGTAAAAATTTGGTAAATTTCTGTTTTATTGTGCTGATGTGCCATAAATCACAAATCTAGTAAACCATGTTGTGATCGATTCATAGAATTAAGGTTCAAGCAAAGATCATGACGTTAATGTTTGTGTTCAGTTATGTTTTGGTTATTTACATGTTAACATTTATATATTTTGTCTGCTGTTTGACCTGTGATCTAATGTTTGATATATTTTGTCTGCTGTTTGACCTGTGATCTAATGTTTGATATATTTTGTCTGCTGTTTAATCTGTGATCCAGTCTTAACATTCAAAGTTAATATTTTGCTAGGTCAATATACTCTTTAAAAAAAAATAAAAAAATTAACATAATGTAAAGTAACCAGTTGTTGTATCTGTGTCTATTTCATTTTCACTATTATAACACTTAAGGAAATCTTAGTACAAGCTATTTTATAAAATTGATTCAAATTTGAGAGAATCAGATTAAGATTTTATTTAATTTACTTATCATTATTGTATGACACATCGGCGTCGGCCTCCTTCGGTCTTAAAACGACTATGGTTCATCTCAAACACTTTTTCAAATGTCTGTGAAGCCCTGTTTTGGAGAGACACTCCCCTCCACATATATTGCATGTCAATGTAGCTTTTGCTTTGGTGGTAGAGGGGCTGGCCATTTTCAGTGTGGTACCCTTTTCTCCAAGAGTCGAGGCCCATGTTTTCTCGCTGTCTATAGCTTTCTTGATACAGATATTTTAAAACCCAACAATCAAACAAAAAATGAAATTCTCATTTTATCACCTTCAATACATTTTTTTTTCAGATTTTATAAATAAAATAGTTTCTGGAACTTTGGTAACTTTTTATGTTTCTTCATAAAAACCTTTTGATCCATCAGATCACAAATATTTGACTTTGTTTTTTCCTCTTCAAACTAATGGCAATCACAATTGATCCTTACAATTTTGTTGTGTTCAAAGAAGTCTAATGTTCTGTTTCACTTCTCATTGAGACCTTGTTTATGTTTTTAAAAATTTTTTTGTTACAATGTAGCATTTTTGTTTTCACTTTTTTAAAGACTTTTATTAATATGGTAGTTAAGACAATGGTTCTCAAACATTTAAGATCACTAGAATCTTTAAAATATTTTGTGTCCAGGTTGTTGAGTATACTCTATGAAATGTAGTTATTCGAAAGTAAGTCATAGTCATAAGTACAGAAACACTGCTTTGGTCAATTGAAAGTACATGTGATTAACTTATTGAAATATGGTAAACACCATAAAATGTTTGTAAGGCTTTTCATTGTTACATTGTTGTTAGTGTTTTTACAAATCAAATTTGTGATGAATACCTTTACAATGAATAAAAGTAGGCAAAATCAGAGCCAGTTTTTTTTTTTGTTTCTTGAATAATTACTTGTAACTCTAAGGCAGAATTCAAGTTTCTTAACTTAAGCAATATTGCATTAAAATTCATTTCTCTCAAGAGCTCAAGACAGCATGCCAGCAGTTCTCAAACTGTGAGGCTAAACAGTGGAGCACAATGATGTCCATTTCTTTCTTCTTTTTTTAAGGAAAAAAAAAAACTGTTACATTTGCGCTGTATTTATTACCCTATAATCTAAGACTAAGACTGCATTATTGATCCTTACAAAATTTGTTGTGATTACAAGGACTCTATACTCATTTGCAGACAACACAACAGAAACACACACATAAATAGAACAGACACAATATGAAGAGTTCATTCAGCATTAATCAACTAAAAATGACATTATTATAAATGTTTAATCATTGAATTAAGTGACAGCATTTCATCTTTAGGTAGGACTTGTTTATAATGTACAGTATTTGCTAGATATCTTCTTGCAACAAGATGGATCTCAGAATGTTCTTTTGAAGAAAACACTAAAAGCTATCCCAAAACAACTATCCATATATACACCAATGGACCAACCTTCAAAGCCACCATAAATGCTGGTCTTGATGTCCTCCTGATCTTTCCCAAAAATAACCACCTTGACATAAGTGCACCGAGGAGCTGCACCCTGTGGCGATTATTGCTCAAACTTCCAGGCCGAAATCAAAGCTATCACTAGAGTACTGCAGACAGTTGAAAATAAGCTCCATGACAACACATGCACCATCTTTACAGAGTCACAATCCTTTCTTTAAGCATTGACTAGCACACCTCATCTACATCAAGAGAGTTGACAACACTAATTACAATAAACTATCGTATAATGCCAAAATGTAATCTAATGTGGTGGGTTTGGCACAGAAGAACTAAATAAATGACGAAGGGAACTCGTAGGCCGATTTCAATCTGTTTATTGTACGCTAAAGCTCGTGTGGAGTTTTGATCTCCCATCGAGCGCCTCCCCAGGTGGCGGATAGGGGAATGCCCGCCAGATATGGTGGGTACCGGGGAAATAAAATACCCAGGGTGGACCAAAATCAAAGTGGAAGTGGAGGGATCCACAAAGGCTAGGGCACCTTACCCGAAAATAAAGGCAGCTATCCAGAGAGCTGAAAGGGGCAGCTATCCAGAGAGCTGAAAGGGGCAGCTATCCAGAGAGCTGAAAGGGGCAGCCCCCCAGATGGTTATGCACAGGGCTAACAACTCTGTCATATAAAAAATACTGTTACGAAAGCTAATACACACAAGAAAACCCGGACAGATCTCAACGGAAAACGACCTAGGCCTGGAAAAGGACATGATATTTGTTTTGCGACATGGAACGTGCTAAGCCTTTATAGGTGCGCTAGCCCAACTTACTGAAGTGTTTAAGAAATATAGGACACCCCTTGTAGCCCTACAGGAAATCAGGTGGAAAGACTCGGACATTCTCAGAACCAAGGAGTATACTATATTTTATAGTGGTGGAAGCACTAACAACTTAGGTACAGGTTTTGCTGTTAAAAAGGAAATGGTAGGTAATGTCATTGGATTTAAACCTGTGATAGACTCTGCTCACTACGTTTGAAAGGAAAATTCTTCAACATATCATTTATCAATGTTCATGCCCTTACTGAAGATGCAAATGATAACACAAAAGAAGCCTTCTATGATGGGCTGGAAAGAATTTATGATGAAGCACCAAAGCATGACATCAAAATAGTCATAGGAGATTTCAATGCAAAAATTGGAAAGAAACCAGCATTCAGATCAACATTTGGCAAAGAAAGCTTACATGAAGAGACCAACAATAATGGCATAAGATTAGTGGATTTGGCATCAGGAAAAGGAATGTCTATCAGCAGCACAAAATTCCAACATAAGAATATTCACAAGGTTACCTGGATCTCACCTGATGGCAACACCCAGAATCAAATAGATCATATACTCGTAGATAAGAGACATGGATTAGACATACTAGATGTAAGAAGTTTCATAGGAGCTAATGCTGACTCAGACCACCTACTAGTAAAAGCTAAACTTAGACAAAGAATAAGTACCATACACAATTACCAAAGAAAGAGCACAGCAATAGGATAGTGAAAAACTCACAAAGGATCCACTTGTTGCAGAAACTTATAGAATGGCACTCCAAACGCAACTGACAACATTAGAAAAGGACAGCGAAAATAACATAAATGAGCATTGGGAAATAATAAAGCAGGCTATCAAAAGAACAGCAGAAGAGGTAGTTGGATTGAAACAAAAGAACGAGACTATAGGGGGGGGGGGGGGTATGATGGCAGACAGACTATAGAGGAGAAGAACAATGCTACAGAGAGAAACCAGGAACACAAGACAGCAATACAATGAAGCAAGAAGAGAAACCAGGAACACAAGACAGCAATACAATGAAGCAAGAAGAGAAACCAGGAACACTAGACAGCAATACAATGAAGCAAGAAGAGAAACCAGGAACACTAGACAGCAATACAATGAAGCAAGAAGAGAAACCAGGAACACTAGACAGCAATACAATGAAGCAAGAAGAGAAACCAGGAACACTAGACAGCAATACAATGAAGCAAGAAGAGAAACCAGAAACACTAGACAGCAATACAATGAAGCAAGAAGAGAAACCAGAAACACTAGACAGCAATACAATGAAGCAAGAAGAGAAACCAGGAACACTAGACAGCAATACAATGAAGCAAGAAGAGAAACCAGAAACACTAGACAGCAATACAATGAAGCAAGAAGAGAAACCAGGAACACTAGACAGCAATACAATGAAGCAAGAAGAGAAACCAGAAACACTAGACAGCAATACAATGAAGCAAGAAGAGAAACCAGAAACACTAGACAGCAATACAATGAAGCAAGAAGAGAAACCAGGAACACTAGACAGCAATACAATGAAGCAAGAAGAGAAATCAGGAACACTAGACAGCAATACAATGAAGCAAGAAGAGAAACCAGGAACACTAGACAGCAATACAATGAAGCAAGAAGAGAAACCAGAAACACTAGACAGCAATACAATGAAGCAAGAAGAGAAACCAGAAACACTAGACAGCAATACAATGAAGCAAGAAGAGAAACCAGGAACACTAGACAGCAATACAATGAAGCAAGAAGAGAAATCAGGAACACTAGACAGCAATACAATGAAGCAAGAAGAGAAACCAGAAACACTAGACAGCAATACAATGAAGCAAGAAGAGAAACCAGAAACACTGGACAGCAATACAATGAAGTAAGAAGAGAAACCAGGAACACTAGACAGCAATACAATGAAGCAAGAAGAGAAACCAGGAACACTAGACAGCAATACAATGAAGCAAGAAGAAGGGCCACAAAAGTTGTAAGAAAGAAAAAACGGGAATGGGAAAAGTTCAAGATTGCTCGAATTGAGGAACTAGCAAAGGAGGGAGACATGAGAGGAATGTATATGAAAATTAAAGATGAAAAGAACGGATTTCAAGCTAGATCACACATGTGTGAGAACAAAGATGGTCACCTTATTACAGAAAACAGCAGGGTCATTGAGAGATGGGCTGAATACTTTGAGGAGATCCTAAATACCACTGAAGATGTAGACAATGGAGAATATGAACTGCCACATGGGGGACCAGATCCCTTAGTGAACCCTCCAACACTCATTGAAACATCAGAAATAATTAGGACCATGAAGAATCACAAAGCACCAGGAGAGGACCAAATCACAGCAGAACTAATTAAATTTGGAGGGAAAGACTTACATTCCCAAATACACAGACTAATATCAAGAATATGGGAAGAAGACTTACTTAGACTTAGGTCCTCCCGCGCTGTTCGGCGCATTGGGCAGCAAGCTGTCTCCATAAAGATCTGTCACTGGCAATGTCTGAAGCCTCCTCCCACCTGGTGTCCACTGTTCTGAGGTCCTCCATGAAGGTCTGTCGCCAAGTAATACGAGGGCGTCCCTGTTTGCGCTTTCCTTGTTTTGGCTTCCATGTTATCGCAACTCTTGGTGTGCGTAATTCATTTTGACGTAGAACATGTACCGCAAACCTCATGCGACGCTCAGTCACAACCTCACCAAGTGTTCGACTCCCAGTTCGGCATAGGATTTCCTTGTTTGAGACCCGATCTGTGTAACTGACTCCCAAAATCCGTCTCAGCCATCTCTGTTGAGCCACATTTAGTCTTTTCTCAATTTTGACAGATGACTTCCACGTCTCACATGCATATGTAGCAGTTGGAATGACGATTGTGTTGAGGTGTATTTTTGTATCGAGTCCAATGGCTTGGCTAGTCCAAATAGGCTGCAGCCTTTGGAAAATGCTCCCCGCCTTTCCTATTCGGCACTCTACACCATGGTAAGCATCTCCATTATTTGTTATGATGCTGCCAAGGTACGTGAACTTGTCCAGCTCTTCAAGCTTTGACTCGCCAAGTCTGACGGGGACACCCTTTGCCTTATATCCCACTCGCATAATTTTAGTCTTATCCAAGTTTATGCGGAGGCCAATCTTTGGGTGCCTCTCTGTCTAGGCTCTCCGTCATTTCTTGAATGCATTTATTTGTAGCCCCGAGTAGTGCGACATCATCAGCAAAGTCCAAGTCCGTCAATCGGAGCTGTTCATGCCATGGAATACCAAAGGCAGTCTGGTTCATTGCTCTCCTTATTATGTAGTCGATGGCTAGGAGGAAAAGGAAGGGAGATAAGATGCACCCCTGTCTCACACCTTTCTCGATTGTAAAAAAACTCTGTTGTTCCCTCTTCTGTTTTAATGCAGCAACTAGATTGACTGTAAAGGTGTCGTAGGATCTGGACGAATTTTTCTGGGATACCGTATTCTCTATTTTCCATAGTGATTCTCGGTGGACACTATCAAACGCTTTTTTGAAGTCCACGAAACTGATCCTTAGCCGTTGTTGGTACTCAAGACTTTGTTCTATGATATTTCGTAGAACGAAAATCTGCTCTGTACATGATCTGCC